AAAAAAAAAATTAAAGCTGAGTGTGGAAGAGAGCTCAAATAAAAAGCATACAAAACCCCAAACGCATGACTGAATTGCTGCATTTTTAATGTGCAACACAAAATCGCTAAACATCCCCCCAAAGAGCAGCGCTCTCGGGCTGTCTGGGAGACAGCAGAAGGCGGAGGCCAGAGACCTAACAGGGCGGCACTGCACGGGGGTTGTGAGCAGGAGAGAAGGGCCCAAGGAAGCCTTAGAGGACTCTCAGAGGGCCTAGGAATAAAGAAAAGTGGGGAGGAGAAGGTCCTCAGGACAGAGAGGGGTCTTAGGCAGTAGGTGGGGGCTGAAGGTCAGGGAGGAAAGTGACCACAGGAGAAGGGACTCCAGTGGATGGCGTATTTCAATGCGCCTTGGGGTGCAGGGGAGGGGTGTGTGCAGGGAACACAGAGATATTGGAGGGCAGCGGCTCAGAGATCGTGTGTGGCCCTCTTGCACTCATGGAGGATACTTCAGGGTATAGGGTGTCCCTGGACGCAGAGGGACTCAGAGGCAGAGGGGTATCTAGGGCGATGGACTTTTCTATGGACACAGAGGGGTTCTCAGTGAACGTGGGGGCGTCTCCGGAGCAGAGAGGTCTGGGGTCCGTGGAGGTGTCTCCGTGTGAAGGGTCCTGGGGTATACAGGGTGTCTAAGGGGCGGAGGGAGCTCTCCAGTACCCGGGGGCCTGGGCGTGGGGGGCTCTGGGGTGTGTCAGGTGAGGGGCAGCAAGGTGACGGGCCTTGGCTGGGGACACAGGGGACTGGGTGGCGCTCAGTCGGCCTTGCACTCGCTTTCGCGCCGCCGCTTCCTGCGCTCCGCGTGCTCCTGCGCCAGGCGCGCCCAGGGCGCGGGGCCGCTGGCGCCCACCACGCAGCAGGCGAGCCGGCGGCCGGCGTTGCCGTTCTCCACGCTGGCCTGGTTGCCGCCGCGGCCCAGGTCGTCCTCGCCGGCGTGGACCACCACGGCGCGACCCATGATGGAGTGCGGGCCGGCGAGCGAGGCGGCCAGGCCGGCGCGGTACTTCCAGAGGCGGCCGTCGCGCACGGCGAAGTTGCCGAAGTCGCCCGGGTGCCGCGGGTGCGGCGCCCCCAGCGGGTTGTAGTGCGGCCCGGTGGACTCGCAGCCCTGGCTCAGGTCCCCGAACTGGTGCACGTGGATGGCGCGGCTGGAGCTGTTGGGCTCGGCCGGGAAGCCCTCCAGGTCGAAGAAGGCCTCGAGCTTGGCTCCCGGCGCCGGCTGCCGGAAGAGGACCAGGCCGCTCACCCGCGGCTGCGCGGCGTCCAGCGAGGCGGACGGCTGCACCCGGCAGACGGCGTGGAGCGCCGCGTCTGGCCCGCCGGCCGCCGGCCGCCGCTGCGCGACCTCCTGCCAGATCTCCAGCACTTTGGCGTACATGTCGCGGATCTGCTCTGCCACTTCGGAGCCGGGCCCCGCGGACTCGGGGACATTCCAGGTGTCCGAGAGACGGGCCGCCAGGAGCAGGCAGCAGCACAGCSGGGCCAGCATGGCCGGGGTCAGGCACCTGCGGGGCGCCCCCGCGAGGACGGGGCGGAGCAAGCCTTAGTCACTGGGAATACCCAATCGCAAGGACCCCCTCCGTTGTCAGATCCACCCCCCAAGTTCCCAGGGGGCGTCCTGACCCCGCGTGCTTTTGTGCTGTTTGTCAAGGGCCTGCTGAGTAGTGGACACTGGGTGTAAAAAAGGATGAGACCCCAGCTGAAAAGTCTCGAGAGATCTGAGTCTCCAGAGATCACGGTTCTTTCAGGCCCTGAGTCCCTGGCAAGGAAGGAGTGGGGCGCAGGGCGCAGGGGGCRGGGTGCCTTAGGACATCAGCTGGCAGTCTGCGGCATTAGGACCCTTCCAGGTCTGCCCCTCCGCATCCCTCCCTGCTTTCTGCATCCTTCCAGCAGACAGACATGCGACTTAGGTCCCTGCCTTCTTGGTATTTGCATGTACTGGGCCCTCTCCCTGCAGTGCCCTCCCGCTGCGGTAGACTTGGGGTTTATAGAGATACAAATTTGGGTTTTCTTGGGTATCCCCAGCACCTGGGCCCACAGCAGGCAATAGGATGCATGTATTTGGTTGCTAAGAGAGATCACACCAAGTGGGGGACAGGTGGGTACAAGTCACTCCAACACCATCCTGTGATTGGAGTGGGGTAGGGGTAGGGCAGAGAAAGCCATGCCCATCTCCCTGGGGACTCCAGAAAGGCTTCCCAGGGGAGTTGACTTTCTAGTTGGGTTCCGTAAGATGGAAGTTTTCCCGGAAGAGCCAGGTAGGAAAGCCTATTGGACAAGAGGACGTTCACAGGCTGGGAAAGGTTACAGTTTGGGGTTGGAGGGAATTCAGTGTGGCTAGAGTGTGGGCTCTCTCGCTCTCTCTCCCTGTCTCTTAATAATTTTTAGATGTTGATGGATCTTTTTTATTCATTTATTTATACGCAGCACTGAGAATCAAACCCAGTGCCTCACATGTGCTAAGCAAGCGTTCTACCACTGAGCCACAACCCCAGCCTGTGTGGCCTCTCTTGACCAGGCAGGAGCTGGGGCTCAAGAGGAAACCTAGAACCAGGGACAGAGGAAATGACTTTGCCATGCTAAGGGGGTGGTATTGGCTAAGGAGCTAGGGCTGGTTTAATCAGAGGAGGTGATAAGAGGTGTTTTGTTTTGTTTTGTCTAGTGTTGTGTATTCAAACAAGCTAGAAGACAGGAATTTGAAAATTCTCCCCATACAGATATGCTAATTGAGGAGATAGACATGCTCACCCTGATTGGACATGATACAATGTGTACATGTATGGAAATAGTGGTGTATGGTATCCCATTACACATGTACTGATAGCATGTGTCAATTGAAAAATAAAGCTCACTGACAGGAGAAAGGTTAAAGGCTGGGCTCCAGGGATGGAGAGGACAGGGAGCAGGGTGGTAATGATCTAGGGAAAGAGAGACCCAGAGAAGCAGAGCTGGAGAGACCCTGAGGGAGACCAGTTAGGAGGCTGTAGCACTAATCCAGGGAAGAAACACAGAAGCTCTGGCCAAAGTGGAGGCAGCTAACAGAGAGGAGGGCGTGGCTGATCAGCCCTGGCAGGAGGACAGGAGCAGCAACAAGTGCAGGCTCCTGAGGTTCCATCATGGAACACTGAGTGGCACAGTGGGAAATAGTCCCAGGACCACTCCCGCCCCATGGGTTCCAAAATCTGTGGATGCTCAAGTCCTTCATCTGAAGTAGCAGAGTGTGTGTGTGACCTGCGCACATTCTGCGGCATATTTGAACCATCTCTGGATTACTTACTGCATTTACCAATGTAACTGCTATGTGAATACTTGTCATCCTGTATTGTTTAGAGAATAATGACAATTGGGGGGGGGGAAGTCTGTGCATGTTCAGAGCAGACACAGTAATTTTTTTCCCAAGCATTTTCCACCTGAAGTTGGTTAAATCCACAGACGTGGAACCCAAGGACATGAGGGTGACTGTACTATAACTTCACAGGGCCACTGACTTTCTTAGCCCTCCGTTCCTTACCTGTAAAATAAGGCCAGTCATAATACCCAAGATCATGGTAAGGATTAAGTGAGATATTTATAAACCAGGCTACTTTCACATTTTAAAATCTGCCCACAGGGATTAATGATGGCCCCAAAGAATTGGTTTGAAGGTCACCTGCTCTGCCAAGTCCTTCTTCAACACCTCTGGCCATTTAAAAAACAAGCTCTAAGATGGAGTGTCTCTTCCTTACATAAGCATTACAGAAAGTCAATTGAGAATGGGTGATTAAAGGAATGGATTCTGGAACTGGCTTCACAAATCCAAAGCCCGCCTGTCACTTACTCTCTAAGTGCCATTTTCATATTTATAGAGAGCAGCAGAATAAATGTCTGCCTGCAAACTGTAGCCAGGCCTGCTCCCCACCCCTCCCCACCCCCAGCCTCAGCTCTCTGATCTGCACAGACAGCTAGGGACACCTACCTCAGAATCTTCCTATCAGGCTTACAAGAGACCCTTGGAATTTCTGACCCTTACTGAACACACAGGTCAGCCATTGCTATGAGCTCTTTGCATGTGCTAATTTTTAAAATCTGCATGAGACCCCATGAGGTATTTGATAGCCTCGTCTAAATCCCAACATGCAAGGAAAGAGGTACAGAGAGGCCAGGGTCCTGCCGGAGGTTACACCAGCGCTAAGTGCTGTGCCCATGATTCAGTCGTCACGTGCATAGCTCTCTAGAGCAGGCAGCACAGAGCCTGTGCTAGAAAGTTCTTAGCAAACAGCACCTGGTAGTCAGCAAAGAGAAGCTGCAGATGAGATGTCAGGACCACCCACTGAGAGAGGCTGTGGAAGCCAATGGAAGAAGGAGGTTCTAGGAACTGGGGGTCTCCTGTGTGCCCTGTCCTGGAGCTCTCTGTCAGCAGGGACCCTTGTTCCCGGGGCAGCACTCAGGAGCACCTACACCTGGAAAGTTCTTCAAACAGAGCAAAACCAGCTTGTTTGGGGGCCTCAGTGGGCTTTGCTTTGCAGGAATGCTGGGGTAATAATAAACAGTTTAAAGAGGTGCTTTCCTCTTAAATCTAAAAGGGAAAAGAAAATGCTTCTTCACACCCAGGAAAACTAGAGTCCTTACTTCCTAAGCCTCTGCACCCTCCACACCCCCTGCCCCTGGAGGCCCCACATAAGCTCAGTCTTCTGGAACAGTCTCCTGCCCAGTGAGACAGCAAACAACCAAGTGGCTTTTTGAGAGCCTGCTTTGGGCAAAGTTCTATAGGGACAAAGCTATGGGGGTGGGGGGTGGGGGGGGGACAGGGAGGGACAGGGAGCCTTGTCCTGAATCAAAGGAAGCCACCAAGCCTTTATCTTGGCCAGTATCTGGGTGGCCCCCAATTCCCTGCCCATTCCCTGAAGCTTCAGTAGACGTGCCATAGCAGGCCATGTCCGAGGTGGGACACTGGTGTCACTTTGTCCTGCCTTCCTGGTGACTCCCTGGACCTCTTCCTGATCACCTTCTCCTGGGGCTTGGGTGCTGGAGTCCCTCCACAGCCCCCTGGAAAGAGCGTGTGCTGGGAGCCAGAGCTGGCCAGGCGCTTGACCTGTGCCTTTGCTAACCAGGGGGCTTTGTAGGCATGTGCCCTCCCTCGGGGCTCCAGCACCCAGCCGTGCAGCGTCCTGAGGACAGGCTTTCCATCATATTTCTTTCCTGTGACACTGAGCTGCAGTTTCTCTCCCCCCTCCCGTTGCCTCCCTTCTCTCCTGGCCCCCCGCCCTGTCCCCAGGGTCCCCTCCTAGCTTCAGAGCAGCCAGGCGTCCTGACTCTCCCAGGAACCTGATGGAGTCCTTTCCCAAGGAGAGTCCTGTGCCCCGCCCCGCTCACAGTAGGGACACTTGGGGAAGAACAAAATGGACCCAGCTTGGCACCCACCTCTGCAGCACTTCCAAGAGCACTTTCCCTCCTGCGGAGCCGGAGCCCGAGCAGCACTGGCCACTGGAGGAATGCAGKCTGTCCCCTGCTGGGGTTTGTGAGCCAGCAGAAAGCCGGCCCAGCCTGGGGAGTGGTTAGCGGGAGGGAAGAAGGTCATTGGGCCCGTCAAAAAAAAAAAAAAAAAAAGGCGTCCAGATGTCCCTTGCTGCAGAATTGCCTGGCCTCCGGCTCCTCTGTCCCCATCTCCCCCGCCGGGGCTCTCTTGCCAAGTGTCGTGACTTCCCTGGTCTGTGCAGAAGGAGCCCCTGACCTTCAGCCACAGCGGGGGACTAAAAAGAGAGAAAATAGCTTGTTGGGAGAGGTGTACAATGGCCTCTTTATTGAGAGGCCTTTTATTTTCTCCTGATTTCCGCAGCTATTGACTCATTTTTCTGGATGCTGACGTGTATCGAAGATGGGCACAGGCACCTGGCAGCTGTGTGTGGCGTTTTCTCCAGGACTGTGCTGCCACGCCTTGCGCACGTGAGTGGCAGGTGTGGCAGGGATCACACACGCAGGCTGCAGGGCCCCAGCTTTGTCACTTCCCAACTGAGTGCACCTGGCCCCGTGACGTCCCTGCCTGTGCCTCCCTTTCCATCTCTGTAAAATGGGTACGCGACGCTGGCGAGCCTGAGCGATCACCACGGAGATCAAATGAGATAAACAYGTCAAGTGGGAACCCAGTGCCTGGCTCTCGTAAACAATGTCATTAGGACGTTACACAGAAAGACAATAACAGTCACCCTGTTGTTGTCACTGCTGTTGTTAAAATGACAGAGGAGCCTTTTAAAAGAGTGTGTGGTCTGGAGGGACCACAAGCCTTTCCCTCCAGGGTGGCCTTTTTTCCTTTTGCTGCCATGAACTCTCCTCAATCGCAGCAGCTCTTTCCAGAAATAGACRCCTCTGTTTCCCAGAAAGGCACACTTGGGAAAGGCACTCACCACTGCCTGTCTGTCCTGCGTTCCTTCAACCAGTGCTGACTGGGAGCTGCATCCCAGCCAGGCTGCATGCTGTGTCAGAGTCCCAGATCTGCGTTGAGTCCCTGCCCCTTGGKGTTCACATTCTCAGGAGGGAGATGGCGGTGTCAACAGATACAGCCRGGGCTGAGTGAGGAGTGCAGCTGGGGAGGGAAATACAGGGTCCCTGTGAGGTCCCCAACATGGACCTGGGCAGAGGAAAGCTTGCTAAGTAATCTCGAACTCGGGGTCCCAGCCCCGGCTGGTGGCTCGGCTGTCAGCAGAGACTTCTTAAACCCCTGTTTTTAGATGAGCARTCAGGAGCCCAGCTTGGCAGGAAGAGAGAAGCACTAAAGACTTTGTCCAGGAGCCATTCCAGGAGATAAGACGGTGACTTCCCAGAACTCAGGACCCCCTGCCCCATGGTCCCCCCTTCAGGCTCAAGGAGAGCTCAGCACCTTTGCCGGGACGAACGTAGCTGCCCTCTGCTCCAGATGCCACCGGTCCTCCGCCCCACACTGCAACATTCTGGCTTCTCACTGTGAACCTTTCATCCAGTTTTTTTTTTTTTTTTTTTTTTAATCTTGACTTTCATTCAGTTCTTGAAACCGTTGTTACATAAGCTCCTCGCCACTGTTTCCGTGGCACTATCCCCGCTAAGCGCCATGTGATTTCTTCTAAGTGTCAAGAAAGCGCTCCTCCATCCCGGGGCTCTAGGAAGGGTGACAAGCCCAGATTCACCTGCACCCTCACCCTGGCAACATCCGCTCCCCTTTTGGTAGCCRCACCCCAATGTCCTTCTAAGAAACCGCTGCACTTTTGGTCTTGGAGGTGACACCGACTTCACCCCTTGCTGCAGAGGTCARTTCATGGCTTGGGTGTGATCAGTCAGGGTTCACGGATGATCCACTCAGAGACAGTGCSATGCAATGACACTTTTGCTTGGACCATAAAAGAAGATGTATCCTCTCGTCCATTGGAATTGATACTGGAGAGAAAAATCTAGAGTTTTCGTAGCCACAACTCACCACGAAGGGAGAGCCTGTCTGAGAATATGGGCAACGAAGAAGGAAGTGAAATAAAGTAAAGGAAATCTGGATTCGGTGGCATTGTTTGAGCCCCTGGGTCTAGCCATACCTGAAGCTTTGTTTTCATTATGTGAGTCAACACATTCTCATTTTGCTTAAGTTATTTCGGTTGRGTTTCTGGTTGTGACTGAACACTTTATGAAGCACTTTCTCATATAGAATCTTATTTAATGCTTATTAAAGTTTGTGGGGTGGTTATTAATTTGTCCACTGTCTAAATAAGGAAACAAGATTCAGGGGAAAAAAAAATAAAGAGGGGGTCAAAGTTGCARTGCTAGAAAGTGGGAAAGTCAAGATCTAAACCCAGGACTCTGATTCCCAAGCCTGGCCTCTTCATCTTTACATTTTATTACCACCAACTAGTGAGGAGATGAAAGAAAAGTGAGAAATGAGTAACTGGTGAGTGCAAATTTTGCAGTTATTTTTGTAACATCAGCCACCGCCCCCTCCCCCTCCCCCACGACACCCTGAACCGTTGGCCTCTGGTGCTTCCCACCTCTGTTAAAGTGTAATGCAGCAGACAATCCGTGGGCCTTGTTGAGCCGCAGAGTTGGAGACACATTCAAAAGTGCTCTCCTACCCATGCAGCAGCACCCTCTGCTCCGGAACTTTGACCTTTTCTGCAGGAATTCCAGTTGCAAAGAGCTGCTCTGCCATTGTGCTCKGAAAGCTGATGGAATTAAGTTCCACAGATAAACAGAGGGGTGGCCAGCAGGAGARAGCCACAGTCAGGGCTCCAGATCACCTTCCTGCCACGTGGTTGCCCACCCAGGGCACTTCAGACTCTCCTGAGAAAACCTGGAGTGTGTCTTGCCTCCCCAACCCCCAGAGTCCCCGGGGGTGGGMGTGGAATCAAGAGAGCCGCAGGGTGCAGTCTGTGCTGTGCCCAAGCACACTGGGGTGATAGGAGACAGCAGGTCCTCACTGGCAAGGTGTGCCGGAAGGGAAGCGTCACCTCTACAAACAGGAGTCAGATCACAACATCCAGCGYTCATTRAGTGCCTCTGTGTGCCAGGCGCTCRCTGCCAATGGACAAGCACCTTTTACTCATGGTCACAGCGCTGCTTACAGGGAGGAAGAGGGACGGCTCACGGTGCCACGGTGCATTCTGTAAGCTTCCTTTTCACTAGGAACATGTCGCCCTGCCCTTCCAATGTGGTCACGATGACCCCAGGTAGGACACAAAAGCTTGTTCTGATCTGAAGGACAGCTGTGCAGCACAGTCCCCCAAGAAAGCCCGGGGGAGCTCGCTCCAGCTGAGCCCTCGAGCTCCGCTTCCTGCAGGAGACTGAGGCTTCCTGCTCTGCCACCCAAAGCAGCACSGAGGTGCTGGGACTGAGAAGCATGTCCTGTGCTTGTTACCTCCTGCTGATTGCATGGTCCACTCTAACTGGGAAGAGAAACATTCCAGCTTACTTTTTAATCACACTGATTTAACAAACATACCCGCACCCAACACCCTGGTCTCCCCCTTKTATTATTCCCTCCTACTCTAGCAGCCCGAGGGATGGACACTGGCTTTCCCAGAATCCCTTTCAACTAACAGTCATGTGGTCCAGTTGTAACCCATGAGCTATGACCTGACGTGGCTCTGGAGAACGCTTTTACCTCCTTTATAAAAGGAACAGAGATAGATGGTGCCTTTCCCTTTCCTCTTGCCTGAAGCGTGGGTAGATGCCTGGCAGTGTGGCAGCGACCTCGGGACCATGACAGGACGAGAGTGACAACATAAGGCCATCCCCACTGAGCACCTGAACCAACACCAGCTCTGGACTTCTTGCAATAGAAGAGGATAATCCTCCAGGTACCATGGCTAGCGGGCTTCTGTTACTTGCCCCCAAATGCATGCCTAACTGTTGCGGTGGTGTGTCAGACCCTGCGCTGGGCGCCATGACCGTGAAGAGGTAGAAATCTCAGCCTTACATCAAGGGACTCCTAATCTACTTGRAGAGACGTGGGTTTGAGGGACCATAGAAACTTCCCAGTGTTACTCTCCTATTTTACAGGTGGAAAATAACACCTGAAGAGGTTAATTGACTTGTCCAGAGCCACTCCTGTGAGATGCCAAGGAAGGACATGAACACCTTGAGCCTTCAGGCTGGTGACTTCAAAGTCACCAGTTCCATCTCGTCACCTTCCCCTGCGGGCCCCTCACACACACCCTGAGGAAGAAGTATTCTCCCCAGTCTGAAAGCCAGCTGGGCCGGCCCCTTTCCTCCACACCCCAGGGTGGGCAGACTAGCCGACAGGATGGCAGGGAGGGGCCCGAGCACAGTGCCCACCCTGCCACCGAGAGCAGCAGGCCCCACTCCTGGGGTGATGGAAGACGGCGGCTGGAGGGAAATGCAAGAAAAGAGAGGTCCTCTGGCTCAGCCTCTCTTCTAGAACAGCAATTAGGAAGTTGAGATGCTGACAGGACTCAAAAACCTCAGATCCAAGGTCCGGGAGGAAAACAGGGAGTCAGCCATGTGTCCAGTGTGGTTCTGGCCTCTCTCCAGACGCCTCACAGTCCCCAGCACAGCTCCAAACCACCGCCACCTCCTAAGGCAGCCATGGGCAGAAGCATGGGGAAGGTGGCAAGGCTCCGTGGTGCGGTCCTGGCAGGGTGCTTGAATTCACGTCACAGAGTTTAGGAGCAATCTTACAGCTGACCTCCTCGTAGCCGTCCACGACTCCTAGTCCTTCCTGAAGGACCTCAGTTGAGTCTTGAGACATCTCCTATGGCAGGGATCTGCTCTGAGCTGTTGTCAGCCCTGGCGGGGGACCGAGGAACGGCACGTCAACATGTCTGAGCAATGTSTGCTCACACTGTGAGATCAAAGCAGGAGTTTATCTCTCATGGGTCTATTCCCATCAAAAACCCAGGCAGAAACACTCTGGCAGTCAAGTTCATGGGGTACCCGCGTCATGACAGATATGGATCAGTGCACCTGGAGAGGAGCCAGAACTGACCTACTGCCTGGCACAGCGTGCACGCCTGTAATCCCAGCGGCTT